GACTTTGGTAACTCAGTGCTCTGTGGACCACTTATATAATGTGGTGGAAATGGTTGAAAAATGGCAAGGTCCAATTTCTCTCTCTGTCTTTGCACCAGGACAAGATGCAATTTATGCCATCGAGGTTATCCTCTTGCTGAGATATTGTGTGACACTTGTGGCACAGTATGTAACTTTTCATTTAGTCAGGCCAATATCAGCACAGGAAACCAACTTGCCATTGAGTGTTAACCTGACTATAAATATGCCGAACAAACATGTATGTGATAATATAGAATTATCTCTAAAAAAAATCCTTAGATTCGATAGAACTAATTATGACACTAAAGACATCCCTTACCCAAATAATTTGCTCAGAAATGTGGCGCTGAGGAATTCTGTCACAGGCTATGTACTGGTAATAGACATAGATTTACGAACCAGTGATAATTTATTCGAGGACTTCCGAGACTTCATAGCTACTAATAGGATAATTGTTGAAGATCCAAAAACCTTGGAAACCATGCTCTATGTGGTGCCTGCATTTGAAGTGGAAAGCAATCAAACCATTCCAAGCATCAAATCACAGCTGGTCAACCTATGGGACAAAGGGATCGTGAGGCCCTTTTATGAGGAGGTGTGTCCTCGGTGCCATAAGTACACCCAGTACCATGCCTGGAAAATATTACAGAAATCTTCCAAGTTAGAGATGAGCTTCCAAGTTGAGTGGCGTGACCCCTGGGAGCCTTTTGTAATTGCACCTAAAACCATTCCATATTATGATGAGAGGTTCAAGCAGTATGGTTTTAACAGAATAAGTCAGGTAATATGGGATTTTCATTAATGTAAGGTAAAGAACACTAAAATAAGAAAGTGGCCTAGATTGGGCACGTAATAAGTTTTTTATTTCTGGCATTTGCCTCGCCATTTGTATGCATGTGCTGTGTGGAAGGATGGCAGAGACAAAAATGCATTTTAAATCCATTCAGCACAGTTGTTATATTGATTCTGAAGTTTCGTGAATTTTGATTAGACTGATATATGTTCATTAAGTTTAAGGAGTTGAATTATTTAATGCTATGCAACCATTCATTTTCTCTTGTAAAATACCAAGTATTTGAGGGAATTTGTTTTAGGTGGTCTAATTTTTGGTTACTCTTCTAAATGGCATGTTTACTTTAGTAACAATCACTATCTATTCAGTGCATTGTACCTTTTTTCCAGTTATGATTCCAAACCTTGTAGTCTTTTAGATCTGAAAGCTTGCTAAGTTAACAATAAAAATTTAATGATTTAAAAAATTTAATTCAGTGCTTTAACATTTTTTCTTTCAAACCTCTTTATGGAATTGAGATATCTTCACAACTTTCATTTTCTGGCACAACAACCACATTTGATTTGCTAATATACCTTATACTCATCAAGTGTAATGAATAAAACTTTTTTTATTTTCCAGGCATGCGAGCTGCATATAGCTGGTTACTCATTCAATGTCCTGAACAATGCCTTTGTTGTTCACAAAGGATTCAAAACAACAGATGTATTCCACAAAACTAAACAAGAAGATATGAAAAAGAATAAACTGTTATTCCGTCAGTTCAAAGAAGATATGAAAACAAAATACCGTGACTCACCAAGGAAGTGTCACTGATAGTTTCTTTAACACATTTTTGTTTTAAAAAAATGAGCGAATAATTAATAGTAGTGAACAAATAAGTTTTATTTTAAAAAGACTGATTGTAGGATAGTGGAGTAATGAAACATTTTACTTGTATATACAGACTATCACTTCAAATGCTGTCAAATATTCTCACTTGGTGTCTTTTTTAAGACCAACATTTTACACTTATTATTAGCCTGGTGAATGGTTGCAAAATTCCTTGCATTTCTACAATTGAAATGATTTTAGGATTGGTGGTAATTTTATTTCTAAAAAGAGATGTAACATGTCTTGCAGTTGTTTTGTCAAGTTAGTACAGAAATCCGTGGGTCCTTTTAGCTGTGTTCCCAATTTTATGTGCAATAATTTTATTGAGTAATCATTTTGTTGACTACAAAGTGGTGTAGTGGGTCTCTTTAGTCAGTTCATTGTAGTTTTTAAGTACTACCTGAACTTGCAGCTATCTATCTTAATATGTCTTTCATAACCAACATTTTATTTTTGAAATCCAACTTAATTCTATTTAGAAATGAATTTATAAAGGTTTTAATAAATTCATATTTTCTGTTGGTTTCTCAAATAGCACAAATAGTTTCTCTAGCATTGGAAAAAATATATTTCAATCTAAAATGCTACTTGGAGGTCTTGATAAATCAGAAAGATAAAATGCTTGAATTTTTTTAGGTTAATTATTAGATTGGCACTATTTTATGTTTTTTTCTCTTGAAGAGACTTCAATCTTTTAATCAACCATCTTCAAAATTACAATAAAGGCACAATGCCTCCTTATGGCCATTAATGTTTATTAATACAATAAAGGTATTTTATATAACCCAAACAAGACCCCACTTCATTTTATTTTGGACAGTAAATGAGTGATGTGTGACTTTCTATTTCAAGAGTTGAAAACAAAATGAGGAACACATGCTAAAGTACAAATATAAAATATTTATTGAATGTGAATTTTAAGTTGGGGGAGAGGGAACAACAGCCCTTATGCAAAAAGTTCTGCAAAGGAGAGAACTTAATTGTCATTTTTTCCCAAATTGTAAAAGTCACCTGTCATACTCAATTGTGAAGTCTTATTTTCTTTATCTATAAATAAGATTTCAATTGTTCAGTGAAAAGCAGACCTCAATCACTGTCACTCCCACTGCCAAATATCTCCTCTTCATCTTTCTTCCCTGCCTCGCTCTCTGCCTCACTTTCACTCCCACTGCCAGCATCACTTCCACTTCCCTTTCCACTTCCTTCATGATCACTCCCACTACTGCTGCTGCTACTACTGCTGCCACTACGACTGCGAGTGCCCCCAGATTTCTCACTACGCTTCTCCTCCTCATCCTCACTCTTCTCTCCTCCACTCTCCTCCTTGGTGTTTTCCACATCACTGCCTTCTTTCCTTTCCCCAACTTGATCTGAAACAACCAAGGAGAAACTTGGAATCATGTACAAGTTGAAGCGTGTCCACAATGACTGGCACAATACTAACATACAAGCAGGCTTGCAACCAGCAATTTCAAAGTAGGTGTTTTCTGGCAACAGGGCAGTTTTTTTCCAGCCCCCCCAAAACCATCTGCCTAGTACAAGCATGTACATATTATGGAGTGTGAACATATTATGCATTGTAAATAATTTTTCACAGCACAAATAGTTACATTTAAAAATGATTCCCTTTCTACTGAACTTGAAGTTGAAAATCATATTACCTGGCCTGAACTCAAACTGCTCCAACTCTTCCTCCTCACCTGGTGGCTCCAGCATGGTCAGCCTGGCCTCCTGGGAACAGAGATGCAACAGCATGTACTCTACATAAACTAGTTATTCCTGTGATTGTGCTCAAGTTTTCCTGCTGTCATACCTAACACAATCAGCTGAATATATAAACTTTTTCTTTGAGTGAGATCTTCTTCAGTCATTAAGGAATAGGCCAATAAAATGTGGCACACATGGATCATGCCTTACCTGTGCTGCCAACTCTTGCTCATTGATTGGCCTGTGTTTAACAATCAGCCTGGACTTATTTGTTGGTGCTGGGCCTTCTGTCAATTTACGTCTTTTGCTGAGACGCACTCTAAAAATGAATAAATTAATAATGAATACCCATTATCGAGAAAAAATCTTTACCATATATATATATATATATATATATATATATATATATATATATATATATATATATCTGGGGTAGCGCTAGCAATTTTTTTCTCTTAGCCAAATCACCACTTTTATGTCAATTTGTTATCAAAATGGTCATAATTTGACTAAAACAAGTCAAATCAAGCCCCTTTTCTTTAGCCAATTTAAGCATGTTTTAGCACTTGGCTAAATTGGCGAGTGTTAGCGCTACCCCAGCGTGTATATATAAGAAAATTCTATGTGCAGATGTCACTTGCATTTTCAGTATGTAAAATATAAATGTAAAGAATCTTTTAAATGATATGTGACAACACATGAACATTAAATTTTTGTCAGAAATACAAATTGATTATTAATTTTATTAAAAAAGCAACTTCCTTAATCAAACAATCATTCATTAGCTGACCTTGTTTCAAGTTCATTGTAGTAAACTCCATCTTCTTTGAAGACAAAAAAGTATGTTTCTTCATATCCCTTGGATGCTTTATTTTTCACATTCCAGTTGTACTCCCTAGCTAGAACATAGTCATACCTGAAAGAGTATTTACATTTATGTGTCAAAACTTGAATGGTCTCGAATTCAAAGAAGTACAAAAACTAGAGAGCAAAATAAAAATAGAAAAGAAAATCAAGAACAGATAAATGAAACTCAAGAATCAAATTTGTTATTTTTTAAAGCAATGAAAACTTCTTTGAACTTGAAACTTATAAAAGAAACATTTGCATATATATACTGACTCTTCTTCTGGTGTGTACTCCACATTTTCCTCAGCATCACGCTTTCTCTTACTCAGGGTTTCCTCTGTAGGTAGAAAGTAAGCCACAAACTGGTCCCCAGACTCATCCACCATACCCCTGGTTAAAAATACAGGTATGAATATAAACAAAACATAAACAAAACAAGCAATCACTTGTCACAATCACGTCAAATCGCATGAGAAAAGCAGCATGAACAAATTAAGAAGCCAAAGCAGTGGGACTGACTGCATACTTGCCATAATAATATTGAAGATCAAAAATCTGTTTTGAGTTTAACTATTGTCCAATACCATACCCCTGGTTAAAGATACAGGTATGAATATAAACAAACAAAACAAGCAATCACTTGTCACAATTATGTCACATCGCGTGAGAAAAGCAGCATGAACAAATTGAGAAGCCAAAGCAGTGGGACTGACTGCATACTTGCCATATAACAATATTGAACACCAAAATTCTGTTTTGAGTTTAACTGTTGTCAAATAAATTTTTTGGCTGGAAAGTACACTACTGTGCCAAGAAATGGTGTTTCAGTGTACCAGAGTGATAGATATGCCACTTACCTGATCATTGCCTGTGCCATCTCCTCTGTCACAGCTGGTAGAGCTTTTACCTTTGGTGCAGGGTCTGTGTCAAATATAACTTGGGCACATGGGAATTTCCACATCTGTTATAAGAAAAAGGGCCAAAACCAATAAAAAATTAATTGTTGTAGTTCAAATCCTTTGATTAAATGCAGGATTAAACTTTTCAAATTCAGTTTTCTTGGCTGCTAAATTCAGGTAATATAACTGATGAAAGAGTTCCACCTTTGTAATTGACTTTAAAAAAACACTTAGACCTCACATCGTCAGTAATGCTTTTGACGCCTGAATATAGTTAACAGGAATCTTTTCTAACACTGCCAAATTAAACTACAGCAGAATTATTCAACAGCCTAATATTGAATTCAGAATATATACTTACTTCAAAGTCAGGGAATAAAGGCACTTCTTCGATTGATAAAACACCTGGTTTACTGTAATGCTTTGTTATCTAAAAAAATAAAAAGAAAGTACACACTTATGACTAATACTTCAGATTTTCCTGATGAAAAAATGCAACCAAGTCACAGTCAGCTTACATTCACTTTTTTTCCAAATTGGAGTATCACTAATAAATAACAACTAGACAGCAAAGCTGACAAATATACAGACACCATACAGGAAACAAGGCAGCAAAGCTGACAAATGTTCAGACACTCAGACACAGAAAAGTGTGCACCAAATAATGTTCTGGACAATTTTGATGCACTATTACATAATGCTTTAAAACAGCATAATCACTCTTACCCTCTTATATTATGTACTACAGGTAACATGGACAATGAAAAACTAGTTCAGTGTCTGTATATAAAAATGATACAGTGAAGGGCACTGGCTGTTTTTTCATTCAACTTATCAATAATTTGTCCTTACCTCTGTTTTGTTATCCTCAAAAGTCTTTTCAATAGCATTAATTTGACTTTCTCTATCTCTGTACAGGTCTTCTTCCTTAAGCAATTTCTTTATGTTATACCCAACTCTGTAAAAGAAGATAAATAAAGGTAGCCAATGAGACTGCAAAATAACAATCAAGCTGATTAATTCATTGTAAAATTAATGACTAAGGCCCAGATAATTAACATCCTCCTTCTGTGATACTGAGCAACCACAATTAATAGACATAATTGATTTTCCTCATTTTAAAAAGATAAAGGACTTAAATCACTCATTTGTCCATGTAATAAAAAGTGTGTTACCTCATTTCTGGTCTATCTGCATTAGGTGTGAATCTGTTATACTCTGTAGAAATATATTCTGTTTTCCTGAGCCATGACACTGTTTTATTATGGTGTCTTGACCTGAAATGTGAAATGCATACATAATACAGTTTTCTTGGGCTCTATGACACAATTTTCTAAGACTCAAAATAAAAATGACAGACATTTATTATCTACAAATATTTACAAAATGCTGTGAAGAGAAATGGATACTATTCACAAGTTTAAGTTATATTTCAAGCAAATTTCAAGGCTGGCTTTCAACTCTAGGCATTCAGTAAGCATATTTGTACGGCATCACATGGCTTCTCATTATATTTTCTATGCTCATATACCTTTAACATTGCAAGACTGGCCAATAGCTACAATGTTGTATAATGGCAATAATGGATGAGCAAGATCAATACATGTGCAATTTGTGGCACTGTGCTTGGGTAGAGTTTTACCTTTTAGAATCAGACTGTGATGATAGTTCCTCTTCCAGCAGCCTTTCATCTTCACTGTCAAGACGCTCTGCAAAAAGAGAGAGAAAAAGTCTCCATAACCAGTGAATGACACCAATTAATCAAAACCCAACATTCAAAAGTCATTACCAACATAAATAAAAACCATGTATATGTCTGTACTGATGCAAGTACGTAATAAACATGTGCTGACGTGTCCATATTCCCCAATGCTGTGACTCTGAGAGATATTTCTTACCTAAAGGGTCAACCTTGTATATATCTGTATTTATGAGATCTGTGGACACACCAAGGTCTGTCTCTGTGAGTAATTCAGATTTGGTATTCCTTTCAAGGGAGGTTGGGTTGTAGGAAACAAACCTGGATAAAACACAATATACATTTTGATGATTTGCATACCTCGTAATGCAACTTAATTTGGCTGATAGACTTTTTTCTGCTGCCTCATGGGGTTATATATATTATTTCACTGATATTTATTTAGAAAAATATACTGTTAAGGTTAAAAACAATATCATCAAAATAAAATATTCACTGTCTCAGTAAACAAACATGTTTACTTGACTCTAAGAACCAGTAAGGTCTGGCACTTTCATACTAGCTAATGATAAACAAAGGATTCTTCTTACGGGTTCAACTAAGTACAGAAGAAAAGAATAAGTGTGGTAGAGCATTATATGTCAGGACATGACATCACAATAAATGTCTTCTGAGCTTCATCAGAGTCTGTACGGCCGTATCCATATATTAAAAGGCTGCCCTTTTTAGCTCTCTTTCATTCTTTTTCTCTTCATGTTAAGTGGAGTGGGTAAAGGTGGAGATTACCTGTTTTGTTCAAATGGATATGTGATAAACTTCGGATCAAATGGCAGGTCTGGAAGTACATTGTTGTATTTCACACGGCATATCAGATCAGATCTAAAAGAAAAAAATAAGTCAGATTTGTCAGGATTCTATCTCATAATACTCACACTAGTAAAGACATCGACGGTCCGCAGCGGTCCAGTTAACAGCCATCAAATCTTCACATCTAATAAATAATGCCGAGATAAATCTACTTCGAGAAGTGGTCATATGTTACAAAAAACAAAGTTATTAGTAAATGAAATATGCGTTCACTCAGACTCCGTGGTCAAGGCATTATTTAATATTAGTGCGGATGGGTCATTTTCAGATGCTTACCTTCTTTCCCCGGTTCGTGTCTTTCGACCTTTATCGTCTCTTTTCCCAGACTGTATTGTTGGCGGCATGCTTACAACCAAGGATCTCTCTGGGTGTTCACAAAATTAAAACTGCGGCTTTACACACGCTGGTACAAACAAATATGGCCACTAAGTCACGTGACTTTTTGGGGATTCCGCGAAAACTCAAATTGTTAGAGTCTTTTTATGCATCATTGACCGACAAAGTTAACTGGAGCTGTAATTACTTACAGCCTGTGAATTTTGTTGAAGAATCGCTGAAATGAAAGCTAAACTCAGTCACTCTTCAGTCACGTGGTATGAGGGGGGAATCCCGTCAGAGCTCAAAAATGGCAGCGCCCGGTGTCCAACAACAACAAGGTGCTGGTGCTAATGTTTCACAGGGCCCCACACCTGGGGTTGGAGGTGGAGGAGCTGATGTCGACCCCATTACAAAGTTCCGTATGCTTGTCCCGCTTTTGAAAGATTCCCTGGCGGTGAGAATCCATTTGAATTTTAATAACTGATGTAAATTGTTGTGTAGCGATTTGGGGTGAGTGCAGAAAAATCACCAGCCAGAACAGGAATCGAACCCGGGACCCCTCGCTTACAGGGCGAGTGCTCTTACCTACTGAGCTACCCGGCCGGTTCTACCTGCCCCTGGCACTACAGTTACTATACGGCTAAGGCTCATTAATAAGTAATCCAGGTTATATATTCAACGCTTGTCACTTTGTAAGATTATTTAAAACATTTATTGGAAATGTACAACCAGTCAACACAAAATTTATTTTATTTTCATTGTATTTTATATTATCACTGTCTTATTTTAATATAATTTTAAAATTTTAATGTATTTTGGCAATGTTATTACTATATTAATTCACTTCTGACATTGTTAATTGTATGTTTTCTCTCAATAAATGTTGTTATAACTATTAAAGCCTGAGACTCTGGTTCCAGACTGTGATGAGGGTTGGTGCTCAAATCCTGCAGCATGATGCTCAAGTAGACAATTGCTTGTGAGTTATTTACTTGCTTCTTCAGGTCACAGTTATTTCTCCAATACATCACCATTCAGCAATGGTCAGGTTCATTGATACAATTAAATGTTTATATTACAAGAGTGTTAAGTTATATTTTAATCCCTTCTAGGAAATGCTTATACATTACCTGTCTTAACAATTATTGAAATATTTACAGGCTTTTCTTGGAGAGAGCATATGACATACATAAAATGTGATCAATATTGGGTTTTGGCAACACATCAATATTATTATTATCGTTTAATATTTGGAAAATAATTTTGTTGTTGTAAGAAACAGGGGTTGGCAGAGTTCCTCCTCTCCTTCCCTCAACTCCCCCTCGTCTTCTCCCCCTCCTTGCCAACACTCCCTTACCCTCTTCATACCAACACCTTTTGTCTCTCCACCATCAACCTTGTAACAGTGTTTAAAAATGTGGTGAATTAGGTCTGGATACTGGTTTGTTTGATATGCTGGTGTTTTGTTTATTATATAGATTTGCAGTATTTGACTTCTTCATTTTCTTCAAAAATTAAACCAGCATTATTTATTGAAGGAAATCTGCTGATGGTCCAGTTCAGAGGTTTGATAAGTGTTTGGAGGAGTTCCATGCCATTTGTGACCAAATGGAGCTGAATCTGGTAAAAAAAATTTTTTATAATCGGAAATGAAATATTAAAGCACTAAGTATAGGTGTGTTTATATGCTGTAAGAGTGCTACTACATGTAAAGATCATGTTTTTATTCTGAACTAATTTATGAAAGGGCAGTGGTTTCCTTAATTACATTTCTTGTTTTTGAATGGGTTGGTGTCCATGTTAGTGAAGTACAGCACTGAAATTACTCCAAATGATATACCTTTGCCTTTAAGTTTTGTGTAATTTTAATTTAAAGTAATTAAAGCATTCATTTCAGTACAAGCACATATCAGAATGACTATGACCAACCCAATGAAATATATCTTAAAAGAAAGTAACAATAAAAACAACAATTATAAGTTACATCAATACTTATAATAATAAGGTTGGTTGGGCTTGGATATTGGAATATGAAATTGAATATGTTAATTGTTCTTTCTTCCCAATGTATATTGTAGAAGCTAGCCCAGGACTGTATAGGGGTTTCAGCTGACAGTCTGAAGAACTGCCCAGTGCCCATCCAGACAGGTATTGCTGTGGACCCCGGGGAGCAGCAGAGACAGACATACAGCATGTTCCTTATTATGGTCAAACATCAAATTACATGTGCCAAGGAAATCCACGATGCTTTGTTAGAATGTGCCCGAGATATCAGTAAAAAGCCAGTGTGAATAACTACCAGCAGTTCAAAAGAAAGGACTAGTTTGCTGTTACAAGTACAGTGTTATGTCATGGGGCATATACAAAAAGAATGTTACTGAACATTCTGTATAAGTCAGAGGAATTGGATGTCATTGCCTGAAATGACAGATGGGCTTTATTGGTCTTACCTTAACAATTAAGTCATTAGTCATTTAGATTAATTAAGAATCAGTCTTAAGTCAATCAGCTTGTGGCTAGGGCAAAAGTTCTTTCTTTCTACTGGCCCAGGGGGGGGTTGAATAGAGAACAGAACTCCTCCCTGTCATCTGCCATTAGCATAGATACTGGGTCTGGCAGCAACTTCCACCAAGGATGCTACACCTCTCCTACTTCCTGTGGCAGTGGCATGACTGCACATGGCTCTTAGGGACCATTCCCACAGATATTTGGATCGATCTATCTGCCTGGGGAGTCTAACTAAATTTTCTATCAATTTAACCGGCTAATATGTCTGTCACGCCTAGTAAAACTGTTAGGGGATAATTATCTTTACCCCCTAGCTGTTTCGGTAGGCATGACAGACATTTAAGCCGGTTAGTTGATAACAATTTAGTGAGACTCCCCAGGGAGTTAGACCAATCCAGATGGATCGATCTAGGGATGGGAACCCAGTCTTACATTGCTCTGTCCAACTCTGGTGATTGGACCTCCTCACAAGTTTTCCTCTGGCCTCTGTTAACTGGTGAAGGTTGACCAGATCTTTGTGCAGACATATTAACTTCCTGGATGGCACATACAGTATGATATTTCTATGCATAGCCACCTCCTCCACCTGAAATATTGGGTGGAACAGCTGGACAGGTCTGACTGGCTCCTGCTCTGATAAAATATCAAAATCCAGTCGCCACCCAGCTACCTTTTTTTCACAACCTTCCATTACTTCTTTCCCTATGTCCATCTTTCCTCCAGCATCACCTCATATGACCTCTTCTTGGTATTTTTATCTCCACCGTGAACAGTATTCCAGGGAGTCATGGTCAGTGATTATAAATTTGTGGTGTTCAATATAGACATAGTAAAACAGTCTTTAATGTAACACTAGACTTGATTTATCCCAGGTTTTGTTGGGCCCTGCATGTCCTGCTCTTACATGGTACTGTGTAATGAAATATATGCTGCACCTATACTGACAAACTTCACTGGAGATTTTGACAAAACAAAGCATGTTTTTGGAACTGATTTGTTGTAGTATACCCTTTTTTTTGCTGTTGTTGCACTAGTAATTGTAATAGCCACATGCGCTTTTATTTGTGACCATGATAAACTTGCAAGGGACCGAGTGCCTCCTTAGTTTTAGCTCAACTCTTATTGAAAACAGATATTCTCTCTCTCTCTCTCTCTCTCTCTCTCTCTCTCTCTCTCTGTGTGTGTGTATGCTTATGTGCACAGATGATAGAGTTCTGACTTGTTTGCTTCCATTTTGACAGACAGTTTTGAACAGAAGCAATTCAGATTTATATATTTTCAGAATTGTTTTTTTTTTTTTCAAAGTATTCATTTTTTTATCATTTCATTATAGTGTCATGTGTCATATAATCTATCCTTTCTGTTCAAATCTATTATATGTATTTCTCAGTTTTTGTCTTTATTGAAAGTAACATTTGTGCTAAGCTCAAGTAACTGATTTGAGCTTTTACACTTGAAATTATGATATATATTCAAAATCCAACATTTGATTTGTTATGATAACCCCAAGTTCTTGTGATCAGAGTTTTAACATCTTTCAAAGTGATGTGTGAGGATCATCGAGCCAATACAGTAAACTCTGTGATCCACCTCTTAGTATAAACGAGGTTTCAAACTTACAGGGTGCTCACTGTGCTGCTGTCCATCTTATTATTATTATTTTTTTTTTATTTATTATTTTTTATTCACTTGTTTACTTTTTATACAAGCAGATTTGCAATAAGGTGTAACAATGGTCGTATTCAGAACAGTGGACTGACTAATCCGCAGGTCAAATATGGTGACCCACTAAATCTAATCCACTAATGGACACTGAATAGATTCTCCATGGGGAAGTATTCAAATGGGTCGGCCATATTTTACCCGCAGACTAGTTAGTCCACTGTTCTGAATGCGAACAATTATTGAGAATGCTACTGGTTTTTGATGTTGTACATTATTTCCAGAATAAACAAAAGCTCTGAATTCAACATTTTCTTTCTCATAAACAGCAAGTAAGGTGAATTGGATATGTTGATTAAAATTTTACTAGCTAGATTAGGCCAATTTGGTTTTATTTGACATCTTGCCCTGGCAGATTGATTTATTCTGATTTTATTTAAGCAAATCAGCAAACCTACCTAGCAGATTGTTTCAGGGGTGGGGTTATTATTATTATTATTATTATTATTATTATTATTATTATTATTATTATTATTATTATGTTTATTGTTTAGTGGAACATCATAACTTTTTTGCTTTCTTGTCTGTACATTTGACAGCTTTGCTGCCTTGTGATTACAATAATATTGAGATAAGTATTTCACATAAAAGAAAATGAGGGGGGTATTATGCCAAATGTAGGCATTTATTATGTATCTACATCTTAATGTGCGTTATATCGTTCATCCTTGGTCTTGCATAAAAAGGAATTCAAGATTTTAAAATGTCTGTACAGGTGCATTTTTTATGGTTTGCTTGTATTATTACTATTATTATTATTATTATCATTATTTTAGCGGACAAGAATTGTCAAATCCAGAGGAGGGGCGATTTTTTAGCAAACAATTTGTTGCATATTTCAAATGTGCCCTGTCTAAGATTTCCCGCAAAAAACTCATGCAGGGTACTCAACGAATTTTCCTGTTATTTTTTCCGACTAACCAACCTTTCCTAATTGTCGACACATCTGGAAGTGCTAAAAAGCCCTCAACCCACGCGTTAAGGATTTTGTAACCCTTTATTATCATCCAGATACCAAAATTGGTTTTTTCCTGCATCTAATTAGTCAATGATGCGTCTATCTTTGTGCTATTTTAAAACAATGAAAAACCCTCAAAAATATAAAATATCGGCGTCTATATTTTTTCGTTGCAAAGTATAAGCATAGGCAACTCGGAGCTTTACTTTAATCATCAGTTTAACACCTTTCAATATTGAGGTTAGATAGCAATATGGGGTGTAACTTCATCCATGAACAAGATTTTATCACGAAACTGGCATAGTTGACCAGAAGTGTTGGCCACAATTCCGTGCCGTCATGTTGGTTTATGTGCTTTTGTTATGGAGTTGTGAGCCCCTAATTACAGATTGCCATTCAGCATAGGCATTATTACACTTTATCAACGATAATATCTAAACTAAGACTTTTTTAAAAAAAAAATCACTGACTGCCGGTTGCGCACGATCCGAAACTCTCCAAATGGTTGACAGTGGACGGGGTTCGTCATGAGGTGGTAAATTAGATTGATTTTGGCGACGTTAATTCATGTCATTTATCTGTTAAAATATGTTACTCAAGTTCGAAAAGAAGTGGTCTATGTACTTAACGTTTTTAAAACCGTACACTTTGCTCCCTGGTTTTCCTGGGGCCTTTTGTAAAATTGTTCTCTTTCAGCAAACCAATAAGCAATGCAATTTTTCCATTTGAAAATAAAAATTAATTTCTGTCGCGCTAGTAAACCAACTTGTCGATTTAATTTTGCTTATTGTGAATTCTTCATATCAGATCTCCCACCGATGGTTTTGGCATCGAAAGGAAGTAAAATTGATCCAGTAAATGGGGTAACTTCCAATCATTTTGAGTGGAAATTGTTAAATAGATATTGTCCTGATACAGGGAAAAGATTTTGAATAGCTAGAGAAATCGGGGTTCAAGTAATATCGATAGCCACGACATCCCACCTCTACTTAAAAGGTCTTGGGATTTGCCGTGGATTTATTTTACTCATCCGAGGCAGACCGAATTTTCACCAAAGTAAAGGTTTCTTTTGTAACATTTTAGTTTCGGACATAGACAAAATTGTTATTTACATTAGGTTATGAATTAAACTGTAGCGGTTGAAATCCATCAGTTTATTTTCATCGTCTGTCAGATGGTCCACGCCTATTAATAAACAGCAGTTGTGATACCGTCTTATTCTCTTGGTAAATAGTCCAACACGGACAAAACCAAAATTTGTGAAGTGTGATTTTTGTGAATGAAATCATTCGATGGCTTCAGACCTTGGCTGTCTCGTAAAATGTCTTAACTTATAAATCAGCTGAACCCTTCATCTGACGGCTACATGGTAGTCCAGTTTTAAGCCGAACCCTTTGGGTCGATTTCAAAGGAAAGTGGAATGCTTCAAGTTTCAAAGGACAGAATCTTCGGCTGCGTGATTACGTGTAGCTGTGGCAATGTGGTGACGTATTCCCTGAGAGCAGGATTAGAGACACTGGCCTTCAAATGGCTTCAGCTTACGGTACGAGAAGGTCACCGAATTCTGGTATTCGCCGCTGGAGACGAGACGAACTACAGAATTCTGACATGGGAGCGGAATTTTGTCGGCCTCTGAAAAAAAAAGAGATATAACAATTCCACTTAAGATTCATGTATGGTGAAAGCAGGAGTGACATTTTATTTTTTAAAACCACACATACAATTACGCAACAGTTTGTACTTTGCCAGATACTGCACGTCTATAAAAAGGAGTAATTTTTTTAGGTCATATTATTCATAACATTCACCGTAACGTGCTCTTTAAGTAAATCTTTGTCACGAAGTCTTACCTGGCATTGGATGAAGCCCACATACATTCATTACGGCGTTCATTTTCATGGGAGACAGTCCAACACCGTCACGGAATTCCACGTAGTCTTCACTCCCGCGTTCGGCACACTGAAACAACCATTCGGTAAGTTATATATTGATGAAAGATATATATTGTGTTAGAAGTGACACTGTGTTAAGTGTGGCGTTATGCAATGGATGTCATATATTTAAATAAGTCTTGCATTTATTACGAAAAACTGGGTTTGTGTTTAACATGCAAAAGTTACCTTGGTGATGAGACCGGTTTCTCCAAAAGTTCTCCCTGCGTTCCCCACGTTCAGAGAGAGGATCTGGACAGCCTCCGGGTAGATGATGGAGAAGGTGCAGTTAATTCGCCTGCCATAGTTGTACAGCGTGTATACTCCGGTGTCAAACATAGACAGCACGTTGCATGCTGCAATAATGATAATAATAATGATAATAACATTAAATTTCTTTAACATTTAAGAATATAACTAAGTTGGACATTAAGTCATGGCAGTGGACGCTATCTTAGGCCTACTCCAACGAACAGTGAAGAAGAAACAAGCACCCTAGCCATTTATCATGTGATATTTTTTTATCTTTGACTATGCTCTATAATTTCTAATCAGCAGCTTTAGTTCACTCTACAGCTTTGAAATTACCCCATGATCTCAGGCTGTTTTCTCCGTGTAACTCAATTTGACACATGAAGCTACGCAAGGATGTTACGATATTGGAAAAGATCTTCATCTTCATTTTACGCTGGAAGCTATTTATGAGATAAATAACTACTAAATGGAAGATATCTGTCATTCATTGGGCACCGATGATCTACTTAATAATGTGGCATTTAGCCGAATATCGAATATAAATCGAGTGGGAGTTATAATTTAATACATGCGTTTTGCGTCAGTGACTGTAAGGTCATGTGTACACCTTATGTTTTACATATTTTAATGCATTAATGCATATATTTATATCGGATGGATATAAACGCGCTGTAGATTATAACTGCGTTAATATTTCTGATAATTCAATAGGATTTATTTCTTAATTATTTAATGTATTACCTTTGGTACATAAAATTATGATGTCTCTGTGCTGCTCAATTAAAAATATTATAAAAATGGTTTAAATTATTTCTGAACTATTTGAAGTTTTCAAAAATTAAGTATGGTGCATTTTATAAATCTATCTGTTCGGCGGGTTCTTAAATTGTCGAACAATTTCATTGTCATGAAAGGGGGAGGGGTAAAAATTCAAAACAATGCCTTCTTGCCAATATTTAAAACTTTTTAAACGATAGGAAAGACTTTGATTTTAACGTACTGTAACTATATTTCAAGAAGGTAAAAGCAGTCATTCTTATTCAGTGAGCTGTTTTATTTATATTTTAAAATTGCATCATGACATGCAACGATCTTGTCAGTTTCACACAAATTTATTTTACTCCCCTTTACTTTTAATCCGTTGTGTGTCTCAGTGGCAATTTTATTTATTTCTCTTCATGCCAATTTAAGGCCAAGGCCGGTTTGACAAATAAGTAATACAGCTGTCTTACACTCAGTATATATACTGTCACCTGAAAACTCGAGTGTCCGAATTACAGATTATATACCGGATTATATACTGTGTTTATGTAACTAAGTTGTAGCATGTGCATTGTTTATTCATTTTCTGTTCGTATGTAGGTAAACAACACGCTGTAGAAACCTTGATTCGTAATTAAGTCACGAAATCATGCTATACGGTGCATAATAGAACCTTGCCGACAAATCTATTAGACTTTCCTTTCGTCAGGCTTGTGGTGGCCAACGGAAAAAAACAAGTTGGCAGATAACCCCTCACGCAGTGTTTTAGGCTAAAGTGCGCAAAAAACCGCCTTATAACAAATACAAGTAATGATTTCTTGTGACTTTCGATAATGTCCCAGCATACGGACAGTCACTGTCCATGAGTTTGTCGATGCGCTGATCTGTAACAAATTGAACCAATTGTTTCGCTTCTGTGTGAACAAACTCGTGTACCGAGATGGACTCTACAAGACTGAAGTCATAACATACTAGTTTATCATTAAGGCGGGTTGATCAAAATACTCACGTTGGTGGTTTCTGACAAAGCGAACGGTCACTTGGAATCCCTGTCCTTTCCTAGGGATTTGATATAAAATAAGAGCCACATTCTGCGAAGAACGGAAAGTCTTGTAGGAGGCGAGCTTGGCTTCTTTTCCACAGAACTGATGGACTCTTTGAACTAGCGGCAAGGCGTGGTCTTGCACCCCTGGGAAATATTCCCCATTCAGCTCCCAGCCGTCAATGACCTGAAGCCGGAGCAGGGTTATGTCTATATAATCAAACACCAGGAGCCCTTTAGCGGGAGTCGCACGGATATTGTGAAGGTTTTCTATTTCATAATAATTAACAATAACCACCAGTTTTACACAGGATTGTAAAATCCCCATAACCTTTATTTTGTATACTCTGTATTGAAAGAGATATCCCGACTGAGCACTTAGCAGCAATTAGTAAATTTTCTTCATCAAATGTCATGTATCAGAAAGGACGAGACCGGCCGTTTGAATAGCAAAGGGGATAATAGCAAATCCGTACGTGTAATAGGTATATGTGGATAAGGTTTTAAAAATAGAAAATATACACAATACAGATACGACAAAAACAATTTCCTGACTTTCTTTAGATGAGAACCTACATCAAAAGTCTAATTTCCCCTTGTCTCTTGACCATTGAAGCATGAAGCGACACAATGGATTGTGTCGTGCTGATTTTCATTAGTTTCATGAATAAAAAATAGTGCGCTAATACATTAGACGTTTAAAATGCTTGTCCATTAAGATTCTCATATTTTGACCATAATGCTGGTGTTTCTCATTACTTTTCGATTTTTACTTTTTAAAAAATCTGCAACTTAACCTGCATGCAACGGTCTTATATAATATAAAAGGCGGACAAATTACATCAGAACAGGTTGACAATGTTCATACACTTACACTGACAGCGCCATTTTGTTTGCAGTCTACGTCGATGGCCGTGAACTCTACTTCCACCAGCTCGTCGTGATGTCCTACGATATAGAAACCACAGGTGCCTTCTTCGTCTCCCGTAGATCTATACCAAAAGTCACCCTCGTCATTGGACATCTGGATGCAGTCTGAAATATTTACAGAATTTCATAAATCTGACAGACGTTAACTTTTTTTGTGATTGAGTGCCTTTCTTAGAAACATCCATTTGTAACCTGAATAAATTTAAGAAGGTTAAAGGTATTCTATACGGGAATTTTGCACAGAATGTAATTTCCTCGAGAAGAAGCATTTTTCGCCTACTCACGAATCATTGCTTGACCCGTCCCTGCAATTGGATTTGAAGTTTTATACAATTCCTAATTAAATGATTGAATTTTCAATCGAATAATAATGCATTTAGACCGTCATTCGTCTTCCTGACATTTCAGAAGGAAATTTACATACCAGGAACGTTTATTCGAAGGGCTTTTAGACATAAGGAATAGCATTTTTCAAACGCGTATAGAATACCTTTAAAGGAAATCAAATCTGGTCATGTCTGCAAGCATCAGCTTTTTCTTTAACTTCGTTTATATACATGAAGTTTGAAATATAGTTTATATAGTTATATAGTTACCGGCAGAAGAGAAAAAATGAGTTTTTAGTAACACTCAACAATCAGTTTTAGATAAATTCGATCACAGTACTGAAATGATATAATAATGTTTTCAGATTACCTAACTCTTTCCCTATGAGATTTCTACCTGGCCGTAACGTCAGTTCATGGGATCCCTGTAAAAAAATACAGGTTTTTAAGAACAGGAAATTATACATGGGTAGCAAATAAGACTCAGAACAACTATCAAAATGAATGCTGTTTCAATAAATGAAACAGGTTTTCTTCACAATTTGATATTAGTACCTGGAAAAAAGCGATCAAAATTATGGGTATAAGAAGTTGTGACCTCAGGCATATCAACAAAGGCCATATGGCATATGTTCCAAGAGAAGGCAGTCGGTTTTACTGAGATCAAATATATCTAAATAGATAAATATATAATCTTTAAGTTTTTTTTACATAAGGCAATGTTTTTCGTATACAATTTTAACTGTATGCATTCAGTGACGGAAAGTGCAATTGCTGTCAGTCATGGCCAAAGCGCGTTTGTGACAGTGTCTTACAGTTTGGCAAATTTCCTGTATTGTGCATGTAAAGGTCTTCCTTGTAAATTTGCATATGTCAATATTGTAATATAATTTTGTTAAGTCATGACCTTTTTATAGAGAATGTGCAAGAAATGTGGAAGAATCAATATAAAGGTTATATATTCCGAACGACAACATCCTTCTTGTCCTTTTTGGAGATACGGATCTCCCATGCCACAAGCAGCATGACCGTGGCCAAAACAAACGAAAGTCGTGAAAAACGTATATTGCACGTCAGTTGCTTACCAATGAATATAATTAATTATTGGTTTCTAATGTCCTTTTAGATCCAATTAATAATATCCGCTGACGTTCAACTAATTAAGTGTGTTTCTTCCATGGGAATTTTAGGTGAGCATCGCGTGCGTCTTAGTCGCGGATTTTCATCATTTCGATCGACGTTGGAAACACCGGTTAATTGTTCTGCAGTCACGCGCTAATATATTGAATGACGTCTTTTTCCAGTCAACTGGAAGACCTATGTCCTCATCTATATTTTTACTTTGATTTTCTTTCCCCTGCCATCTGTTTCCGAAAAGATCCTTTAACAGGCAACTTCTTCACCTTGAAGAAATAAAAACTTCATCAATTTGAGAACAGACATCATGTTTCACTGCATTCCTGATGTGGACATCGATGGATTTTTTAGATAAATTTTCTCACGGATCTCTTGATATTTGAAACATTCAGTTTTCCTGTAGATCAAAGTATGGGCAAAGTTTACATGCAATTGGGACTTCCCACTTTTAATTAGTTTGAAACGACAAGTCCGGATGAAGGGTTTAATGCGTTTGTTCTCTGATTAAGTGTGTTATAAACGTGTTCCTTTAGACAAATAATGAGGAATCAGGGAGTGGCCATCAATAATACCGAGACTCCATTATCATACAGTAATAGAATCTTGATAATAGAAGACCGTAGTTATAAATGCACAAACAACAAACACAACTCTTCCGAAACATATGCGTTCTATCATGTTGATTTGTACAATATAAGAGGGGGCTAGCTAATAATAATATCAGTGATTTTTGTTGTAGTTCACTGTTTAGGATATTTTTTTATTCATTGGCCTTGAAGATCGTTGACACAAAAAATCAAAACAGCAAATTTGATTTGGTTTTATTTAGGCTTTGTACCCGATGCACACGTAAAGCAAAAAGGAGTGGTCACGAGAAGTCGCATGGACAATAGGTAAATTTTAAACAACCGGTCTTTGTATACCCCTCTTCGCTTGCTTTCGGTTCCCATCACCAGATGGTAAAAAACGGGAACACTAATGTAATTGGCACCAATTCCAAGGTTCAGGACATGTTGGTGATCTCAAAAACAGGACTTAAGTCAACAGGAAAGGCCTTTTTTGCGTGTCAGATATCATTTGTCACCATCAAGTAAAAAAATAATTCCATTTAATGAACAGATACACCGTCTTATGATTCTAACTAATTGAGAATGTAAACTGCGCTTAATATTCGAAGACCATCGGCATAGCTAGATCATTAAATTCCTCTTCAGTCACTGTCACTTCAATCACTATGTTGATACGGTTTTATATTATAGATATCTTGTCAGTCGCGATGAAAGGATGTCCGCTGAGTTCGTTAATCTAATTTAGTAGTCCCCGTTGAGAGACTGATTGACACTTGAAACATTTTTGTCCTGGCATAATAGGACATAATAGGGCATAATAGGCACGGCGACAGTAACAGAGGATGGAAAATCGAAATTCTTTTCATTAGTTTCCAACAGTAGCTCGTACATGTTCTGGGTGATCTATTCTTGGGTGTCAATCAATGCATTGTGTTGCCATTGTCTCCCACGCTTGAATATATACATCTACCATATTTCATTAGTTGCTAGGTAAGGTTGTAAAACTCAGCGGGAATGTCCAGTTACGGGCGTTTTTTATTCCGTAGCTAACCACATAACATTTGGATACATTATTCGTCCTTCAAATATTGTTTTGTACATTTATGTTGTAGGCCTATACCACAGTAAAATAATTGGCTTTCATTGCCTAAACATTGTTGTGCAGATCCTTATTTTTCTCTGTCTCAGATAATTGACAATTGTAGGCTTTCTAACAATATCTTTGACTCAAACCAAGTATTCACCTCTCGGACAAGTGTCGGAGAATGCAAGGAACTGTGAATACAGCAGAATTATAATGATCCTTAGCAAAATATCAGGCCGGTTGCAAACCCTCTCGCAAATTCACTGCAAATTTTCTACGAGTTTGCTGCAAATTTGCTGCTAATTTGTCGCAAATTTACTGATCATAAAGACGTCTTGCAAACGTGCTGCAAACTTAAGTTGTCATTGCAAATTTGATGCAAATTGCAAACTTTTAATTTTGCTAAGGGGACGCATGTATCGCAACGCCATGCAATTGTTTACAAATAATAATGCATATGTTCCCATCTACGGGCTTCTTAGTGTGCGTGTGTTTGTGTTAGAATTTTAATTTACAGCTTCCTACTATGGTCTATTAATATGGTCACCCATAAAACTGAGAAGACGAAAAAGTCGTTATTGGTATGACTGCCAAGCCAAATAAGGTGTTTTAATGGCCAGCAAAGTTTTAGTATGATAAAAAAATCTGAAAAAAAGTCGAGTTACGATCATTGTTTGCGTTGCCATGCCATACTTAAAAAGTTGAAGTGTTTGATTCAAATAGGGATCACCCAGATGTAGCTAGTGTCCATACAACCCCATACTTAAAAGGAAACTGATACCACCAACCAAGGCAGGCAATGCTTATTCTGTGGGAGAAAAGAGGCCAATAATAAATGATGAAAATGATAAAAATCTTCTAAGTCCTCCGAGTACCACAGTGGCAGATTTAGGGGGTGTCAGGGGGGTCCTAACCCCACCCCCCCCTTCGATTTCTGACTAGCTGAATTTTGACTAGCTGAATATAAACCGTAACGCTTACCCTCTTAAGTACCAAAATTGTAAGGGGCCCTTTCATCGGGCCCCCGAACCCCACGCCAAAGGGGGTGGGGTGATAGAGGGTCGGCTTTGCATCCGCGGACCCCCCCCCCCCTTCAAATAATCTTGGGTCCGCCTCTGCACCAGCACTGCCAATAGATAAAAACAGACCAAATGGCACAACATGATGTGCTTGGTCACAACATACTTTTCTTTCTTTTTTTCGTTCAAAGTTGATATTGGTTCTGGTACCAACAGAAAAGACACTTCGACTTTGAACAAACCTCACATCTAATTAAATCTTTCGTTGAACATTAAGATGCCTTTTCCGCTCTGCTGCTTTTGAGGTAAGAAACTGATTGTTATTGCTCAAATGCATCTAATACTGCATATTTGTGCCACTTTTCATTTTATTATTCATTCACGTAAATTTTGCTCTAACGTTTTAGCACCAAATACTTGTTACTAATAAAGCGAATTTTATGATTAGGTAAAATTTCACGACATTTAGAAAACATAAAACCTTCATTGCTCGTTAAAATAATATTCTTAATTCGAAGCCACCAACGAAGTTATGGCGAGTATATTTTGTGCACCAGGAGAAACTTATCAAAACTCGTGTTTTTAGTCATGAGGTGAAACGTGAAAAGCAATGCACACTAGCTTTTTCTTGTCGTTGAGTATCATACTTACCTTGAACGGAATACACTGTACCAGACTGACAAGGGCATAGACTACAGTAGGGAAGGCCAGAGCGTTCATGTTTAAAGTTGAACTGTTGCCGCGATTCCTGAGGAGTGTTCTGCTGCGAACTTTATATACAGCTTTTAACAATAATCGTTGTTCCTTCTTTGGTCTTCTTTTCTTCAATATTTTCTGATCCTTTGCTATTGTCTATCCAGTATATCAATTGGTTGGTATAAATTTTCTGTTTCTTGTTTCTATTTTTTCCTGTCTTTTTCTTGTTTTGGTTGGCTTTTGTCCGTCTTGAGCTTGACTAAATGTTCTGCGGATCCCTGCTAGTTGATTGTTGGCGGTGCTTCTGTGGCGACGTTTAAGCTGCATTTATACTTATAAGGCTCCTTCTACGTGGGCGAAACGCAAATGTGAACGCGCAACGATATTATTGTAGAAAGCAACAATCAATTAGACCAAAACACGCGTCACTTTATACGAACCAGGAGGAAGCTTTGTTATAGTGACACAATTCTAGGGAAAGAATCTTACGGTTATTGGAGATAATGGTAGCTTAATGGACAGAAAAAGACTTAACGCTAGTGGTACCAAGTAATGATGGTTTGTTAGCTTTCTAGATAGAGGCAACGGAAGAACGAATGATAAATTCGGAAATGTGTTGGAGAAAAGAGAGATAGTAATGGAAATATAGAGTGTCCGAGACACCGTTTCTCTTTTATGTATCCCTGAGATCCTGAAAGTTCGTGAAGCTTGTTTGCTTCATTAATTTGCTAAAGTGATGACTCAACACAATTTTTGTGTTATTTTTGTGTTGTTAACCGGTTAACAGCCGTGTTCTTCGTACACCGATATTTACATGCCTTTAGAATACCTGAATACAATAGCAATTTAAACAAAATTTAAACAAAACCTAGTATCAAAGCACACGACTGTTTTAAGTACCAGTGCCTGCCATCCCTTCATTTTTATAAAAAAAATTAATTATATAACAAATACGGTGAGAAAACATGCGTGTGTTTCTGCAACTTCAGATTGCACAGATTTTGAAATTTTGCATAAAAATGGCCGGTTTTACGGTGCATAAAGTGTGCGAAGCAGTGTATCACAGCATTGTTGCTCTGCGTGAGAATGGTGCGAAACATACTGATATGCCAAGCCTATTATTGTGCCATAAGGGACGGTCCTTACAGAGGTACGCCCAGACCGGTGTTCTTACACAGACACCACGGCCAAGGTATCCATAACTTACCCCAGGAAACAGGACACACTGTTCCTACGGTTATGCTGTTAGAACTAAACGAAGACAACACAATCTCTTCAAAATGAGGGTAGGTCTCTGAGAAGTCCTCTGTGAACAGCGCAAACTCGCATTTTATTTCTGCAAAATTCGTTCCTGGGCAAAATTCTGGGAACATTTTATTTTCACTTTTGACGTCAGATATCAACTTTACCGCCAAGGTTCAAATTAGAGTTTACAAACATCCCGAAGAGGCCAACGACGAAGCGCTTGTCGCTCACAGAGTGACCAGGGGACGGTAGGAGCATCTGCATTTTGGGCGGAATTTGCGTTGGTGCCAAAAAACCCATTGGTAACAACGATGGTAATCTGACCCACTTCAAATGCAGGAATATCTTGGAAACCACCTGCCTCCCATTTGCTAAAGGGTACCTCTAGAACAATTTTAATTTACAAGATAAAAAATGCCCCTCTATAAAGAACACTTGTATTCGCAAGGGACTTACTTACTACAGCCATCAAGATACCAGATGTGAACCCTATTGACATCCTGTGGATAGTAATTACTCACCGTAAAACGATCCACTTGTCCTAAAATAAATCTGAACTAACTCGGACAAGCTATGACCGATGCCTGAAGTGTTATTCCAGATCAAACTCTAAGAAACCTGTCAGAAGGAATGCCTTGCCGCTTGACAGCCCTGATAGCAGCCAGGTGAGACCAGACGCACCACTGACCTTTGAAATGACTAGACGCTGATATGAATGTCTTTCGTGTTTAAGTCTTAAACAGTTGACTTGGAAAATATGAAGGTCCAAATAACACTTATAATGTTTTTAATGACTTAGAATCAGCCATATACTTTTGTTTGCTTCATTGGTGAATTCAGTTAAAGAACTGAAGTCACAATGATACTGAAGAGATTACTAAAAGTTATTAGTACCACCAGCGTGTACGCTGGCGGTGCTCATGGTTTTAGTCCCGACCCGTCTCGTACGGCTCCGTTGGCTCCTGTGGCTCCGCCGGCTCCGCGTTCTGGCGCCGGATACAAGTCACCGTTACCGCTTCTCCTCCTAGACCGTAAGGGCCCCTGACCCCATCTCTTGGATTTAGGTCACATATAATCTCAACTTGAACCCCCTGTTTTTTTTCTCAGTCGGTGCATTGGCCTGGGCGTGACGGTCGTTGAAATGCACCCTTGTCAAAATTTTTGAAAATTCAATGCCAAATATCTCCCAAACCAAAGGAATTATGGGAAAAATTACAATAGAAATCTGACCGAAAGTCATATGTGAAGATTCCAAATATGCCCTTGGATTTTACCTTTGACCTTTATTTCAAGGTCAAACGGGCCAAAATTTTCTAAAAATTGGAATTTTCGCAAAAAAAAAAAAAAAAAATGTTTGCTTGTGCCAATTTTCAGAAACTACATAGACCTAAGCTTTCATAATACAGTGGGGGGATACAATTAGGGACTGCTTTCATCTTCAGGAGTTTGGGGTCAATCGGTGCATTTTCATGGGAGAAGCAGCCGTTAGATGCCAAAACTGAAAACTCGCTCTAATTCTGGAACAGTATATACTAGAGACCTCTTGATTTTTGGATTTTGTAAAGCTTGTTAAGCACAATACTGAAGGTGGTATCTGCTTTTTTGTTTACGATATGATTTAGGAGTTGCGCTATATCAAAAAGTACAATGTCGCAATATTCAGTTGTGGAATTAAAATGTGAAATACTCTAAAATTAGTAGAGATACGACCATAGTTACTATTGAACTTGAATAGGAAGTCATATAATGGCAATCTTACTGTGACCTTGAAATTGACCTTTCACCTTCTTTTCACCATTCTGTATATATCTGTATGCATATGGTGCATACTTGAAGGGAAGAACATGGTAAAAGCGCTTTTTTTACATTTTAGGCTTTAATTTTCAGTTTTATAATCAGCTCGCAAATGCTGGCTCTACGTTTCCAAAATCAAGTAAACTTTGTGGTAAAATACGCATGTCAATAACTTTCCTTCAGTCTAAATCGATAAAGGTTATATTATATTATATTATATTATATTATATTATATTATATTATATTATATTGATTTTTTTTCTAGTAGTTTTTTGCGGTATTCCTTTTACGCTTACGCCCATAGTTATCACCTATTTAATGTTGATGTCATTGGGAAGACAATGTATTCACATGTGGTATGTAATATCTAGAAACCACTATGCTTAATCATTGTTTCAGTCGAGTTAAGAATGAAAGTTTACTGAAAATTTCTTATTTAAATCACATACATGTGTGTATGTTACAATTACCAACTAGGGTATATTTTCACAATCTTGTTAAAACGTTCTAAAGATTAGTTTTGACTTGGTGGAATTACAAAACTCGCTGTATTCTATTAAAAAATCGTCATATTTTAATCTTTGTTATGGTTGTTACAAGAGTTAAAGTATTTTAGAACACGGCTTTAACTCCCCCCCCCCCCCAAAAAAAAAAAAAAATAAATAAATAAAAACTGTCAACTGACTTTGTTATTTAATATTTGCTGAAAGGCTCAATTATTACCGCACATTGCTGTGCGTGTGACGCCATGTTGAATGGAGACGATTCAGTTTGATCAAGGATTTTAGACCAATCATACAGAGCGAAAAATTGTCTTTCTGAGTTTCAGAGCGAATTGGAAACCATTATTATTAGTAGTAGTATTTCGTACTGGGCCAATGTAAACCTGAAACCGTGGTGTCGCTCTGTTAGTTTTTTTTAGAGCCAACAAGAAGAAAATCAGTTTTTTTAGACATGAGCGGTATATTTCAACAGTAAGCCGCTTAGAGCGAGATTAGCATCTGTCTGTCTATCCAATTACTGAACAATATTGCAGATACCAGAGGTACCCCAAAGGCCCAAGGAAGATCATCTATAGACTACTAGGCGTTTCTTATAAAAACTGCATTTGCCATTATTCTGAAGCTGAACTGTTTAACTCGCATAGGCACAGATATACAGTATATAACAGAATAAAATATTCTCTTTAGGAAATCATGTGAATTGTGAAATTCTGAAGGAATGCTTCAAATCTCGACCCAAGAGTAGGCCTACCGATTCTAGGACAATTCTACCATAGGACGAACCCCCCTCCCCCAAATAATATACATATGTATACACATATAAAGTAATCCATTTTATGAATTTTTTAGTGTGGATAGAAAGTATTAATCATGAAACAAATTGTTTTATCCAAATTTCATCTTCAAGGAGTAAAAGTACAGAATATTTTTCTTAAAAAACTGATAAAGGTATATCCACCTGCCTTCCGAGTAAAGGTAGGTAAAAAGATAAACAGGTAAACAGATATTTTATCACATAGCAGCTTACGTCAATTCGCCAGTATGTTTTAGGTTATAACTTGTAATTGTGGTCTTGATATCCTGACCTTTACTTGCTGGTCACCACACGTTAATGAGAGCAGTTGTCCTTTTTAATGATAAGTATCAAATTGGGTTTATTACCCAAGCTAAGCAGAGGTGGTTACGTAGAGCGGGCAGGAAACAATGTTAACCGCGTACAAATGTAATTACGACTTGAAAACAGGTGTAATTAGGATAGGATATATCTAAAAAGTTCCATAACAGGTGTTTTGTAAGGCGAAATTTGATGCTGAACACAAATATGACGATCATTTTTTTCTACAACAATTATTTAGGTTGGTAAAATGACAATTTTCAAAATGGCAGCCTAAACGGCCTTTTTCTTATGTTTAGAACATTCCCAACTGATGTATGTTGGATTATGATATATTTGGGGAGCTAATGAAGCATTAACTGTCTGTGAAGGGCAAGGATAAAAAGTGATAATATACGAAAGTGAGAGTTCGATCAAAACTTGACAAAGAGTGTTTCTGATATAAGATTCATCGTATATAAGCACAATGCTTTTTATATGTAGCCCCAATATGCAGTTATTGTGTTGGAAATGTTTTCAAAGAGAGGAAAAATATTCTTGGACATCCAGATATTGGACATTTCCTCGGCAACTTCTTTGCTGGTCTCAGTTCATGATAGTGATTGCTTCCCCGGCTTCTTTCGTGCAGAACAAAAA